CGATATTGGCGTAGAGACCCACAGTTAAAAGATTTAATATTATTTCCAAAGATTTGGTGGGTGTAGTAGGCAGTGCTCCCGTGATGAGCATGGAAGCCATCCTCTTCACACGTTCCATCTTAGCTCTGGATAAGGTGTTGTTTAGTATAGGCCACCACACGGTGACCCCGTAGAAAAGGTTAGGTCTTGTCACAGCTGTTAACATCCAGTGTACTATAAATGGTTTTATTCCCCATTTTTTGCTTATAGCCGCCTTACTGGCATATAGGGCGGTATTGGTCACATATTTTGTAACGGAACCATCCCGCAGTTCTGATAGAACAGTTGTCTTCTCGATAATAAGCCCAACAAAATCCATAAGACCCCGCGGCATCCCGCCATAAGAAGGGAGCTAACAACAGACTTTTCAATCGTCGAAACGATTTCGTGAAGTCCCCACAGATTCGGGGTGAGGTTGTTAGGTGCAGTATTCCGTTGAATATACTCGTCGACGAGCCTATCTCGAATTTTAAGAAAGAATCATGTGAGGCTTATAGGCCTAAAATCCTTCGGACTCACATAAGCGTCCCAGTGTCCTTTTGGTAAGAATACAACCTTCGCCTTTGTCCACTCGTATGGTATGTGAGTTAAGGTTGAGGCAGGCTCTTAAAATCTGAGAAAGGGGGAGCAGAATGTCCTTAGCTTCCTGTAGGTCAGCGGGGATATTCCGTCAAGTTCCGGAGATTTGTAGGGCTGAAAGACATTAGAGCCCATTCCACTCTTTCGTCACTTACAATGTCCCCAACGGAATCCCCCAGAGGACACGTGGGTCCTAGGACCAGGTGAACTGCCGGAGGTGTCGTCCGAGCAGCCCGGGAAGTGAGTTCTCATAAGGACCTCCAGAATTTCGTTACATGATGACGTCCAGTCCCCGTTCGGTCTATTGGTAGAGTTCATACTTGAAGAGGATTTAGAAAGAATTTTCCTCAGCCTATTGGCTTCATAGTTATCTTCTATGTTATTGCAGAAGTTTTGCCAAGATTTGCATTTCGCCCTTTTTATGGCCTTCTTGAAGACTTTGAGTACGTCTTTGTAGGGTTACAAAAGACCTGTTCGCTATACTTGATTGAAGAGCCTCCTGCAGTTTTTCCTCAGTGCTGAGATTTCAGTATTCTACCAATAGGGTTTCTTTTCGGGAGGGTGATTGGGCAGAAGGCTTTGAAAAAAGCATTACAGGCGTTTGTCACAAAGTTTACTGCTTCATAAATTTTTAACGATTAGTCCAGCTCACTGAGAGAAACATCTTTCGTATTCGGCAGACTTGTTCATTAGGTTTTAACGATAAGCATGTGTTATCCCGAGATGCGTATCAGGATTAAAATTGAGCTTAAAGCTAATATTGAGGTGGTCAGAAAAAGAGTGTTCTTTGGAGACCAGCCAGTCCTTTACCCGATCGGATAAACCGCTCAACACGAGGGTGATGTCCAGCGATTCCCTTCTAACAGAGGTCACAAAGGTGGGATTGTTCCCACGGTTACACACAGTATGATTATATAAAAGAATAAAATCAAATAAACACTCACCTCGGGAGTTGGTGTCGCTTAAGCCCCAGATCGTGTCATGCGATTTAGAGTCCGCCCCTATTATGACCGGGAGTTTTCTGCTATTTTCTTCCAGTCTACAGGGTTGGATGCTAATGCAGACAGTCTCTGCGTTGCTGTATTGGGAGAGTAATAAATGAGAATAT